ACCGACATGATAAAAGAACTGGGATGGTCTACATTGGCATTAAGACGAAGAAATTTGCGCTTGAAGTTTTTATACAACATTTATAACAATAAAACTGGCATTAATAGCTCATTTTACTTATTACCACCAAATTATATCTCAAAAAGAAAAGACCACATTCATAAGATTAGAGAATACCGCACCAGGACGGAATTGGGCAAAAATTATTTTTTTGTTAAAACAATTAAGGAGTGGAATGCCTTGTCCAGTGCGATTGTGTGTGCCGCGAATTCAGAAATGTTTTTTCAGAGTTTATTCGCCCCCTGCGATAATGCCTGATGGTGCTGCAGGACAAAGATGAATAAAGAACGCCGGGCTATATCTTTTATAGAACCTAGACGTCAGGCGTCATGTCAATACATGACGTCATCGCGACCTGACTTGTCGTTACAACGTCATGCGACATCACGACAACGCCTTGACGTCAATGTCGTCATCGACGTTGACGCCAACGTCGATGACGACACGGTGTCAACGTCGTCATCGACGTTGACAACGCGCGTCACATGACATCAAGATTGCGTTCTGACGTCATATTGCCTTGACAACGACGTCGATGTCAACGTTGACGTTGACGACAACGACGACGATGTCACACGACTTCAAGATGACGGCGTCCTTGTCAATGCAACGTCATAAAGACGCTTGGTGTCAGGTCGTCGACGTTGTTGTCGACATGATGCAACTCGACGTCACGACGATGTCCCGAGAACTTTACAACAACAATGTCGACGTCATCGTCAACAACGACGACGTTACACATCTTCAAGACTTCGTCGTGACGGCGTGTCGACGTTGATGTTGGCGAAGACGACGTTACACGCCGTCGAGGCTTCGTACTAACGTCGTTGTGACGTTGATGTTGACGATGACGTCAATACGACGTTAACATAACATCATAGCGATGTTTGACGTTGCGTAAGGCGTCGAAGTCAACGTCGCCGTCCACGACCACGTCCACATCGTCCTCGACGCCGCGCGACGTCGTGACCGCGTTACAACTGCGACTTGTAGTCCCGTAACGGCGTCGTCCTCAACGAGACGCGATTTCACAACAGCGTTACAACGGCTACTTGATGTCACGAAACGGCGCCCAGGTAAAAATATGAAGTAGTATTTCAAGTGGTACCACTTGCTTTCAAGTGGTACTACTTGCAAGTAAAGTGGTACCACTTGGAAATAAAGTAGTACCACTTGGAAGTCAAGTGGTACCACTTAAAAGTCAAGTGATACCATTTGGAAGTCAAGTGGTACCACTTCGGTTGCAAATGGCACCAGGTTGCAAAATCACATAATCACTAATAAAATAAGTGAAAGCTGCTGCTCCCAGTTCAATCTACAAAAGGTCAACAAAAAATCTACAAAACCCCAAAAAAAAAATCACTGACGTTTCTTGAGCTCGAGCTCAAGAAACGCAGGGCGAGTTTTGAGTGTCTCGTCATCCCTTCACAGCCAATGAGAATGCGACATTAGCCGACACGACCGTCGGAGAACCAATCACGAACCAGGAAGATAACGAGTCACGCCCTACGTTTCTTAAGCCGCCATTTGCCAAGTGTACCGCGTGTACCCTTTGGGGGTGTTGTGTCTTCATTGTTATATTTTCATATATTCAGGTAACTTTGTCTTCTTTTACGCTATGTGTTCATTCACTTACTTCTTCATCATCATCATAATTTTTTTTTTTTAATTAAGAGTTTCATGAGAGCAGCACAGGCGACTGGACGTTCCTTCCCGACCCGCCGGGTCCACCGAGGACTCCACATTCTTTTGACGACTGGATGGACAGCGGATTGGGCATCAAACTTCCTCAAGACTTCTTGAGTGCCGTCGCCGTCGCCAGCAACGACGTCAGCGACAGCCGCTTCTAGAACTCCGACGAGAGACGTCTATCAATATAAGAGGCTGTCGACACCCTCAGCGCGCACTTCAAAAAGTCGTGCCACATCTACTTGGAGCGTCACCGGTTCCGCCAGCGTTATCAACCGGTTCCGCCAGCGTTACAAGTCCTCAACTGCAAAATAAAAGTAAGAAAGACTAACATCTGGCTTTGCTTTTGTGCATCTATATGACAATGTACTGTTTGCAAGTAGTTCCACGAGTGGTACCACTTGCAAGTGGCACCACTTGCAACTGGTTCATTGAACAGGTACCATTTGCAAGTGGTACCACTTGCAAACATTTTCACTGGGGCGTCGTTATCGACGCGACGCGATGTCACGACCGCCTCACCACAGCATCTTGGTGTCGCGTAACGTTGCAGTCGACAATGACATCGTCTTGACGGAGTTTTCTGACGTTACTTCTGACGTCAAAATCATAAAAATTACCATATATCCCGTAAGGTACTATATTTCCCATATTACCTTTACCTGTATCGTCGCTCCCTTCGATCGCAGTGAAGGTGGCGCTGCCATCGAAGTGCCTTGGTCGCTTACCACATTTTGAGGTGCAACGGAAAGCATGAGCGGAGCTTGTACCTCGCCCCACTCTGTCGTTTCTAGTTCACTCTACTATAGACGCTTTGCAGCAGCTGTGCATGGACGCCGCCATAACTGACCTTCAGTTTTTGTTTCCTCTAATTCCGTTTATTTCACTTCATCATTACCATAGCAGGCCAGGTCATTGCCATATTAGATTCAACTGTGTCCTTTTCTAAAGCATCGGCCTTTGTAGAGGATCGTCCACTACCGTTTCAGTTGCTAGGCATCTCGGTAAGACAAGAGAAGGTCAGCAATGGCGGCTGTAATTTGGCGCGTGTGTAAAGCGTCAATAGAAGCCTTGCACGAGCGCCGCATTGCAGCCGCCATTGCTGACCTTCTCTTGTCTTACCCAGATGGCGAGACAGTGACGCGGGCGTTAACGAGCCTACACAAAGACCAGTGCTGTGGAGAAGGACACAATAGATTCTAAAATGGCAATAACCTGCCCTGCTGTGGTCATGATGAAGCGAAGTAAACGGAATAAGAGGAAACAAAAATTGAAGGGTGGTAATGGCCGCGCCCATGCAGAGCTGCTGCAAAGCTTCCATACCAGCCAATGCCACGAGCACGAGAGTTCGAGGTCACTGCCTTCAAACGTTCTTCCGCAGAACGAGCGCTCGCGTCAGAAATGCATGCCTCAAAGCCAGGAGCGCAGGACAGCTCGCACTTGTAGCTTTGGCTGCAGTCTCAGCTTAAAGGGATGCTGAACCAAACATTTCAGTGTCTATAATAATTGGTGCACGATCTTTCCACGAGCCAGCAGCCGCCGGTGCGCGCGAGCACATGCAACGAAACTGACGTCATAGTCCACCATTCACGCTTACCGCTCAATCACACTGGAAGCGGATCCGCGTTCGCAAAGCGGTTGCGAACGCGGTTGTATGGACGCTTTCAGGCAGCTGTGCATGGGCGCCGCCATAACCGACCTTCAGTTTTTGTTTTCCCTTATTCCGTTCGCTTCCCTTCATGATTGCCACAGCAGGACAGGTTATTGCCACTTTAGATGCTACTGCGTCCTTCTGCCTAGCATATGCCTTGGTGGAGGCTCGTAAACGCCCGCTTCAGTGTCTCGGCATCTCGGTAAAACAAGAAAAGGTCGGCTATGGCGGCTCAATCTGGCGCGCGCTGAAAGCGTCTTAAGGTCCAGTGCAATTGCACGCGCACTCGATGACATCAAGTGCGCGTGCAATTGTACTGGATCTTTATACAACCGCGTTCGCAACCCCTTAGCGAACGCGGATCCGCTTCCAGTGTGAATGAGCGGTTAAGGTGACAGTGAAATGTGCGGGCTCCAGTGAAAAGGAGAATAAAGACAAGCTTTGTATCACCACAGTGGGGGCTGGTGTAAAAGGTAAGCAATTAATTTGTCAAACAAGAATGTAGCTTTCACTTGAGGAGATAAAAAGCCTGTCTTTATTGTCATATTGCCCGAAGCCCATACATTTTACTGTCACAATAACCGCGAATGGGAGACTATGACGTAAAATTCGGTGCGTGTGCTCGCGCACACCGGCGGCTGCACGCTAGTGGAAAAACGTGAGCCACTTATTATAGACGCTAAATTGTTTGGTTCTGTATCCCTCTAAGGCCGAAGGGAGAATAACCGACGATGGAGTGAAGGTTGACAGTCTCTTCTTGGTGTTCCAATCTAGGCTTCCAAACAGGCTACTCTACGCGCGGTCACTCCTCACTTCGCTCCACTCCGCTCGCAAAACTTTAATGGAAACTCCAGGCCTAAGATCGCAAAGAGACAAGTCGGAACCGCTAAATGTTGCCGGGCGACCAATTCTCGTACTCAACGTCGCCCTCCCACTGGCGCGTCCGGCTTTGGATAGCGTTGCCGAATAGACCGATCTCACCAGCCAGTTTTACTACGCCACCGCTGCCTCAATGCATTGAGGGAACTTTAGTCTTTCTGCACGTGTGACAACCCCGCCGGAGCTATGCGCGAGTGGAGCACGAGACGGCACAAGCCCTCGCGTGCACGGCCGTGTGCCTCCCGTGAACTAAACTTATGGCGGCGTCGCGCATGCGCCGAACGCTTAGTCAGATCGGTCCATTCACTTTATAAGACGATGTTTGGCAAATGGCGTACGCTATGACTGGCCTCAGTATCTGCGTTCCCGTGTACGTCTATCGAGGAAGCGCTTCGCCGCCATTCTGAAGGTAAGTCAGCAGACAGTGTTTATCGTGCGGAAGGAAATGGCTGTGTGGCTAAATCAGCTGTGGGCTTCGGCTCTCTCGCTCTGCTTTTCAATGGGCGGAACATTAAGCAAATATCGAAATAAGGACTTAACGAAGATGGCTGACTTTCTCCAACGCCTAATATTTCTGCCAGATTACACGAAAATCATGTTTTTAGCTCGGAATTCAAACTAAGACATGATGACGGCAACATGGGGCTGAACTAAAGATGTGGCCATTTTCCTTATTTTAAGCGACCGCCTTAAAAACCCAACAAAACACTGCTCACCGTACCATTCAATGATTGCTTGGCTCTGTTGGATGGGTATCGGTATCTGATACCGGGGTTGCAACCGACGCAGAAACAGGAGCCGAGTGACGGTACTGACTTGTGATCCAGGAGGCTGCGATTTCCAAAGCACTTGGTTACCACCCACACCCTGTATATCGTGTAACAGGCAACGTTATTAGATTAGCTTAGTTACGGAACTGCTCATACACGCTGCTTGCACGAGCAGCGCAAGCAGCGTCCCCCACTCTCCCTCTGCCCCCTCTCCCCCCCCCCCCCCCCTCGACTCTCCACCCGTCGTTTGACACACCGGACGGCTGCTATGGTAACTGCAGTGTATTCTACGGAATACGTACGTTTCGAAACGCAGCGTTTAGGGGGCGTTCCACCGTACTTTATGAAACACATAGTTTTGAAACAAAAATCTAGATGGCGCTTTACACGGCGGGAGGTGTACTGAAGTGAGTGAGGGGGGAGAGGGGGGAGAGGGGGGAGGGGGGCACCTCCCTCCGCAGAAGTTCCACAACTTATGCAAGCTAGTAACGTCGGTTACAGGTTAAAAACAGTGCACTGTGTAACGTTTTAATAATCAAGCTAGAAATACCCTAACTGGCCTCTTGCAACAGTGCCAGCCGCCTTCTGCGTTCTTCGGCTCTCTCTCTCTCTCTCGCCCTCTTCACATCGTTTTCCTTGCCACACTTTCTCCTACCGTAGAAAGGTTCACAATCCTTAAAATAATGTGAATGTAAAATCTCGAAATCGAGCCGGCAGAGCGAAAGCTGAGCAGTCCCGCAGGTTCATATGAAAACCAGTGCTCGACGCCTCGCTTTGCGTAGAAGGCTCCTGCCGTGGTGTTTCAAATGGTTCATCCTGACTTCTAGGCATCATAGGTGACAATGTTTAGCTGGCAGACGTCCTGGTCAATTGAACGGTCACGTAAGATAAGAACTGTCCGATGTCCCTGGCTTTCCTCGGTCGCGTTCTCACCGGGAAGACTATCACTGAAGACCGATTGAGAACTATTCGAAGGCCGGAGGGCCTCCCTATTCGATCTACTTAAGTCAGTTGGAGAGCGACTGCCTCTCCCTGGTATCTGTTCTCCCGGCTCGAAAGTAATTAGGGTGTTCAAAGGTTTCTTTATTTGATTCCCCCAAATAAGGTTGACTGTGATTACTTGTCGCAGGAGGCTGTTGTTCTTGTTCAGTACCAATGGAGGCGTTGCAGGAATCATCGGTTACACATTCGCAAGGTAAATTTTTGTCGTTGAGCTGCCCCGGACATGAGGATGCTTGGTACTGTCAAAAAGGTTTCAATACGCTATGGTGAACATCTAGCCGCTTGCGCCTAGAAGCCTGAAGCTGAAATCGGAACGTAGATTTCGATTGTTTCTTGACAACAATATAAGGTCCCTGCCAAGGCAGGTGGAGCTTCGACGATTTACCCCGTTTCACGGCGGGGCAATGCAGTAGAACTTGGCCGCCAACGCCGAAATTCCCTTTATAGACGTTGCGATCGTAATATTGTTTCTGGCCACGCTTCGCTTCGGTGTTATGCTGTGTAGCAGCCGAATGTGGCATTCGCAAGGTTCATTGAGCTTGCAGGACCATGCCGTCTTGACGTACTAATTAAATTTTCTATTGCACCTGTTAGAATATCTGCTGGCACTTCACATCTCTGCCGAATACAAGGTAATGCTCGGTAAACCCGGTAGACTCGTGGACATTTTACCGTTATGCCATCGTGGCAAAAAAAGGTGAAGGTCCCAATTTGTTTGTGACTGATCGACATAGACGCTCATTTTCGACAAAAGTGTCCTGTTAATCCTTTTCATGAACACGTTTGATTGTGGATGATAAGCAGTTACTTTCGTTTTCGTCATTTCGAGCAAGTCACACATTTCTAAAAAAAGTCGGCTTTCGTTCATCCTTCCTTGGTCCGAGTGAATACTTGTAGGTACCCAAAAACGACAAAACAAATTAACAAACAACACAATAGGCGACTTTTTGGCTCTCTTAGGACGTCAATGGATAAGCCTCGACCCGTCACGTAAAATGGTCCGATACGACTAGTATGTACTTGTTCCCTTGTTCTGTAGTTGTCAACGCCTATCCTGTCCAATGGGAATTCAGTGATCTGCGTGACGAGTGGAGCTTTAGGAGTGTGGTGAGGAGGCCTCCGCCCATTACATTCGATGCAATTTTAGCACCACGATGCAATGTCTTCTGTCACGCCGGGCCAGAAAAAACTTTCTGTGGCTTTTTGCAGAGTCATTGTTTCGCCAAGGTGTCCTTCTCTTACGGCATCGTGGACGAATCCTCAGGCTTCTGAACCCAGACACGAGGTAGAGCTGGTACAAGCCTCGCGTTGTCAGTCTTAAATAGAAGGTATCCGTCAATCAATAAGAGTTTAGTTCTCTGTCGCAAGACTCGCTAAGCGTAAGGTTTTGTGATTTTCTCTATGGCCCGTTCCTCGAGTACTTGCATGACTAGAGAGAGGGAATTATCAGCCCTTCGAGGGTGAGAGAGTTATCTTGTGAAGAGCGCTTTGATTGTCATGGAGCAGGCAGAAACTGATTCGTCAGCGGATGGTTGTCGTCACATTGAGCCTGCATTGCTGTGTCCTTTTCCTGGTCGGTGCTGAACTTGGATGTTATATTCACTTAGCTTCTCAAGCCAGCGGATGACTTAGCCTTGTGGGTTTTTGAGTGTTCTAAGCCACTGGAGAGCGTTATGATCTGTAGGGCAGATAAATTCTCGACCAAGTAAGTAGTGCCGAAAATAGTCCACAAAGAACGTCAGTGCGAGCATGTCCCTCCTTGTAACACTAGAGCCTCTTTCTGCTCTGGAAAGGGTGTGGCTTTCATACGCGATGACTCTCTCGTCACCATCGATGTTTTGCGAAAACACCGCCCTAATTCCTCTGTCGCAGGCATCATTGACTAAGATAAAAGAAAGGCTGAAATCAGGATATGCAAAAAAAAGCGTGCTTATCAAGCGTCCCTTCGACTGGTCAAATGCAGTTTGGCAATACTGTGACGAAGCAAACATGGCTTGCTTCTCCAGGAGTTGGTGCAACGATGCGGCGATGACGGCAAAATTCTTGATAAACGTTCGATAGTAGGAACCGAGACACAGAAAGAAATGAACATCAGAAGAGTTTGTTGACGTGTGGCACTTACGGACTTTTTTCCGTTTTCGCTCTGTTGGTTGCAACTCCTTTTGCAGAAATCTCGTGGCCGAGATAGTATGCTTTGTCGGGAAAGAATAAGCATTTCGACAAATTGATCTCAAGAGATGCACTACGGAGCCATTGAAAAACCTGGCGTAAATGTTCAAAATGTTAATTGAGCGTTTGACTGCAAATAATGACGTCGTCTAAATAAAAAATACAAAATGGGAGGTCTTCTACTGTTTTCTGCATAAGTCGCTGGATGGTTGCTGGAGCATTTCAGTGCCCAGAGGAAAGAACTTCAAACTTGAAGAGACCAAAAAGCGTCGTGAATGCCCCATTTGGCCAGTGCGATTACAAGGAACGCCAAATTCCCTCGGGGCCGACGACCCTGACTGACCTAAGGGCGCACACCAGTGTCAGGGAAGGACTACGTGGAAGTTCGTTTCCACTGCGCTGCAGTTTGGACACTTAACACCATTGACCAAACCCCAGAGGTAAAGACGGTCCTTGGTTGGTAAGACCCCCAACCTTTTTTCTACTGGGAGTCACACACTTCTCCAGGCAGGCTACCGTGGGGGAGGGGTGGTCTCATGTACGATGGCCCAAGTCTTGGCACTGGCGCCGAAAACTGGGACGAGTATAGGATCTCAATAAGACGAGACGCCGGAACCTCGTCAATGTCTTCTCTTGATACATGGGCGCGAAGTTGCTGGAAAGTCTCAATAGCAGCTCTGTAGAAGAGGGGAACTCTTTCCACGCGGGCGCCAATGAGGGTCGGTTGCGATGGTTCCAGGTCACTATACAGTGTCCCGAGAAAATAAACCGCCATCGGACGGCCCGTCCGATGGCTAGAGTGGACGCTGTCAGTTTGATTCAAAGCAAGCTCCAGCCACCGCGCTCTTGACGGAGGCTGAAAGCAAGGTGAGTCACCACCACCACCTTGCCTGCCCAAAAAAGGACACGAGAGAAGATCGCGCCTGGCGTACAAACCAAGAGGGCGATGAAGCCACGCCCACGGCATACCAGAGTTTACCGCAAAACACTGGCTGTGCAAAGTAACGCCGTACGGCCATTGGGAAAGCATATCCCCTGGCCTCTTCTACGTGCGAGTTTAGGTCACGCGCAAGTGCAGACCACGTCTCGCGAGCCACGCCGTCTTCATCAAAGGTCACCCCCAAGATTTTGGCAGTTGCGTCAACGGGGAGCAGCGAGGAATTGCGCGAGGTATCGCCACTGCATACAATCTTGGACTTGGTGGAGTTTAGCTCTGCGCCGGAGACAGCCGCGTAGGTCGCGAAAACCTGAATCACGTGACGCCACAGTGTTACATAATAACCGTCCACTCAATTTAGCTGACTGAAAGTTTACGAAATTCAAACACGGCTGTCTAAACGCATGCAGCCGAGTAGCAGCGCCTCGGATGCTGTGCAATTCATTTACAAAAAGCGGCAAGAAAAAAAAAATTTTTGTCGACGAGAAAAATTGGCGCATCTGTCGAGTATTGTTTTTGCCAAAAGACCTTTCTGTGACATTTCGTGAAATAAAATGTTAAGAAATTATTTAAATTCTTACTGATATGCGTTCTATGATACCGAGGCAATTATAGTCCTGGAAAAAATAACAATCCCTTGTCAAAAACAAAAAAAAAAAAGAAAAGCACAAATTCATAATTTTTTAATGTGGCCTATAGGATTCAATTTCAAATATTGTAGCGCTGTGGAATAACGCGTTCAAAAGTTTAATTACTGCTTATTGATATTTTATGACTGTCACTGAAATATTCCCGGGGAACATTGCGAAGATTGTTGTTGTTCAGTTGAAATTCTTATTTTAGTGAATGCACCGAGTCGCTAATGCCCAAGAAAGCTGGTGACGACTGTACTTGAGTGCACGGCAGTCCACGCCGTTGAGGACACAGCTCTGGAGGACGTCTTCCATCTTATGCCCCAAAAGGAAGCCTCGGTAGCGCTTGTCGCTTTGCGTCACTTGAACCCAGTCCGTGAGCTCACGGCTCAGCTTCAGATCTTCCTTGCTCATCTGCGTTCGAAACAAGGAGAAACCACTACGTTATTTAGCAAATTGTGGGATTCTTACAAGGAGAATGAAAGGGCAGTAAGTTGCGCCACGTATGTCGTTGCTTTTTTCGTGCTCTGTAGTTTATTATTTTATATTTCCGTAATCGTAACGTCGAATGAACCGCTGTCAAAAGCCTGTTTGACTGCTCTACCGCTGCCGCAATGCATCCAGAAGAAAATATCGTAAGGATGCAGGTTAGCTGGTGAATATGTTTGAGACGTCGTCTTGTCTATTGTCTGTCTCTCCTACGTTTTGATGTTTCCTCTCTGCACCAGTCTCAGGTTAATTCAACGTGGTTAACATCCAGAGAACTTTAGTCTTTCTGCAAATGCGACAATTTCGCTGGAGCTCTGAGCAAGCAGAGCACGAGACGAGAAGAGCCGGCTCGCGCACTGCCACCTGCCTCCTGTGAACTAAAGCATAGGGTTATGGCGGTCTCAGCCATACGCCGAATTACGGTAGGGAGGTGTTAGCATTGGCACGCGAGAGGAGGAGCAGTCGGTCAGGACCATGGTGGAAAAAATACATTTAGGTGGTGACTCTGGCCGCTCTTCACGCGGGGAGCGAGCGGCCAGATCGTGTTCGGAGCTAGCCTCGAACAAGGAGTATTGACACTTTGCAGCAGCTGTCCATGGGCGCCGCCATAACTGACCTTCAGTTTTTGTTCCCCCTTATTACGTTTACTTCACTTCATTATTACCCTAGCAGGCCAAGTTATTGACATCTTAGGCTTTATTCTGTCTTGCCCCCAGCATTGGCCTTTGTGGAGGCTCGTCCACACCAATTTCAGTGGCTCGGTATCTCGGTAAAACAAGAGAAGGTCAGCAATGGCGGCTGTATTCTGGCGCGTGTGTAAAGCGTCTATACTCTGTTTCATTTTATGATGTACCGCAGGAAAGGCTACAAGCGCGAGCTCCTTGCTCTGGGGCACATCCCGGCAGCCGCCAACGCTATGAGCTCGCGCTTCTAGCCTTCGCTGCGGTACAATATAAGGTGGAACGAGGTGTAGTTGCTCCGCGCCGCCGCGGAGGGCGCCTTTTTCGCGGTGTGGTGGTACTGTGCGGTCAGTGGCTGGCCTCATGTTTTGCTTTGGTGCTGTGTCAATCACCGGTGCCACCATCGTGCACGAAGATGAGCCTTAACCCGAAGAAGAAGTTATGCTATAAGGATAGGAAAGACGTGCTTCGTTCCCAACTGCAATTCAGGGTACCGGAGCTGCGCAGAGCGAGTGTCCTTGTTTAAAGCTCCATCGAATGGCGCACGCCTAGAGCAATAGCGTCGTGCGATCCCGAGGGCCAATCGCAAGTTACTACCTAGGGTGCTATGTTGCGCTTTTTGGACTCCCAGGAGACTAGGGAAAAGGAAGTGACGTCAACGACACAGCAAACGCACATTGGATGTTGACAGAAGAAAACGAAATCAACACTCAATCTGCGTTTGCTGTGTCGTTGACGTCACTTCCTTCTCCCTAGTCTCCTGGGAGTCCAAAAAGCGCAACATAGCACCCCTAGTCTCCTCATCTCGTTGACCAGGTGAAGACCAAGCTTGAAAGTCTAATTTCTGTCGAAGACTGGGAATGCGAAGATGTCTTGACAGAAAAGGCTCAAGAAGCCAAGGCTGTGGACTGCATATTATCTTATGTAACTTGGTTTTTGAGCGTGAAAATAAAAAAAAAAAAAAGCTACACGCTGCCCTGGATGCCGATCAGCTTTCAGCATCGACAAGAACACTTCTACTGAAGCAGCCCTGACAAATGTGAAGAACAGAGGAAGCTTTATACACCCCAACAAGAACCTTTTCCAGCTACTGAAGAAAGCGGAACAGTTCTTCGTGGAAAATAAAAGCCACCAGACTGTTTACTGGGACACAATCGACAGTGTTCTTGGCACATGCACAATAACGTTTCCATGCGCTGAGCACAAAGAAACAACTGCCCAGCTGCTCCACTACTAATTCAGCATGCGAATGCGACAACACTGTAAGCATATTACGATGAGTATCAACAAACAAGCTCAAGAAATAAAGAAATCAGCAAAGCAGCGCTTTTCTTAGTCTAAGGGCATGGGCGAGAAACACAGGATGTTGGAGGTGGCGTTCTTTGGTAGTATGCAGTGAATTCAGCTTTTATGTACATTTTAAAGCAAAAATACTTATCAGGTATTTTTTTACCTGTAAGACGGGGTGACACCATATTGTGAGAGTATAGATGAAAAGTGATTTATGTCTTATAACCGCTACTATTGTTTGACTTTCAGTCACTGTGTCATCATGTCAATCAGTATGTCATCATACTGTGTCATCGTTTCAGTCACTATGTCATCATAAATAGGATTTTTTCTGCTCACAAGGTTTCTATGTTCCATGTTTATTTTATGTATAAACCATTTGTAATGTTAAAACATTTATGCGCACGTAAAGAATTATTTAGGCCCCACTATGTAACATTATTAGAATTTTTTTTTTCAATAAGGCAGGAGCAGGGGGGGGGGGAAATCACCCGATCTCATATAAAGCCACGAAATCTGTGTAAACAAGTTACGGAACTGTTACCAAAGATGTTGATTGACAAGACATGCGAGTACGACCCAGGTGTTTACTCGAAATTACTCTAAATTATTGAAGGCCCAGTAGATTATGCCGGGAAGTTTTATTTTTGTACGAGTATTTTTGTCACTATGAATCATCATCGGAATGTACTCGTTCGAAAAAAAAAACAAAAAAAAACAGGAACCGCACGGGGAAAAGGCAATCAGTGCCAGTGCGCCAACATAAATCCATCATTTCTCTGCAGAGTACACAAGGACCGAGTAAATAATGCATAATTTCCTTCACAAGCCCCTCTATACGTGGGCGCCATCTATCCCCGTGCGAGTAAAGCGCGCTCGGTGCGCCGAACATAATGTGGTCGCCGCGCGAGACAGAGAGTCATCACCTAAATGTATTTTTTCCACCGTGGTCAGGACGAAGCGGTTGCGCTGCGGTCGACACTGAGATGCGTCGTCTACTCGCGTCCGCTTCGCTCTGGCTGCTTTCTTGCTCCGCGGGGAAGGATCGCGTGCGATGTGCTCTCCTCAAATTCAGTTGGAAAGTTAAACTGCGTTGAATCTGGATATGTGGCTAACGTAACGCAAGAATAAACCTGCGGATACTTTTGTCGTCGTCGTCGTTGTCCGGAACGCTGAAGGAGGCTTTCTTCTCTTTCTTTCTAACCGATATGTATCCCGCGGTCTATCCGGGAGGAATGCAGTGTGTTTGCCGTTTTGCCATCGCAGTAGTCTGGACGCATGGGGCTATCTTTCCGGAAAGAGCGCCAAAATCGATCACTCAAGAGAAGCGAACGGGACTTTCCCGGCGCGGCGTCTGCAATAGGCGTCTTGAGTACAGAGACATCAGAGGAATGGCAGACTGGCAACTTTGACGGTGTTGGTTTAAGGACGACTGACTGCAAGCTTCACCCCCTTGATTTTTAGAAACATCATATAAATTGCTACTGACAATCGATAATGCTGATCGAGATGTTACAGACAGGGACCATAAAGCCGGGGCACGGTGAGCCGGGGTAACACTGCATGCTTATGCGTCATACAAAAGACAGTCTGCCAGACATCAGTCACCGCGACATCCGTGGTTCGAATGCCGCATGCCAAATTTCCCAACTCGTTGCCATGCGGCATTCGAAGCACGCATCACGTTTTGGCTTGCGTTATAACTTGTTTGCGAACTCTGTTTTAAGATATATAAGCAGTGTGACCTCGGCTCAAGGCGGCGGTCCCACGGCCCCAACCATAATACCGGTGGCAGCTGTACTGTCGGGGAAAATGAAATGCGAACAGAATAGCGCGTGGCTCGCGGTACAGGCTGCGCCGCCTGGAAGTGAGCCCAAGGGCGACGGTGCGTGGCCTACTCCAATGTGTTTACACCCTGCGCTCGGCGCTCCCCAAGCTTCGGCAGTGCGCCTCTTAGTGCGCTGAAAGCGATCACCCTAAGGTGCCTACATGTCTGTCTGGCTCAGGGTGAAGACATTCATTGTTGTCCTGAATGTGCCAGCGCGTGGCGCTCTGGCGCACTCGGTGCGTGACTTGGGCGGTAACATGGCGGCTTTGCATTAGCCAAAGCTACGCGCTCGAGCTGAGTGACACCGGATTGCACGCACTTCAAAATGCATAAAAAACGATAGGGCGGAAAAATGGCTGAGATGTTACCACTCAAGCAAAAGCGCACGTGTGTATGAAAGCACTCTATTAGCGCTATCTTTGCTCGCTCGAAGCGTGCGGCGCGAGGAAGCTCGCCGCTAGTAGCAGCTAAAGCGCGCGCCCCTGTATGAATTTATGAATGTTTCTGCATACAAATTAGTTATTATTATTATTATTATTATTTTTATGCAGCCGGAGGTTGGTCAGGCTTAATGGGGGTCCGGCGTCTCAGCTGTAGATGAGAAATTTAGCCAGTGCAGTACAACGGCTAGCCTAGGGTTTTTAACGTGCATCCCGCAGTAATGATATACGACAGCACGCCGGTACGATGCTCATACAGAACGAAATGGGCAGCGGTGAAGATTTACTCAAGGATCCCTGGGTTCTGCACCGCGAGCCTTTGCTCCACGTACTCCTTGCTGGTGTGCGCTAGCCCAATCGGCCAACGATCCCCCTGTTTCTAAATCCCCCTACTCAATACGCGGCAAAAACAACCTCGAGCAATTCTTTTTTTCTTCTACCACTTTTTTCTTACGAATGGCGTGGCCGGAGGAGAGATTTGCGTTTCAGGAATCTCAAATGCCACGTATTCGCCACGGCCGGAAATGACAACAACAATTATACAGCTGCGGCAACCTGGTTTGCCTGAATGGTTTATTAACACGCAACAGCACAAAACGGGAAAAAGAAAAAGTTTCATAGGGCTATTTTATGCATTCAACCATAAGCAGCAGGATATTGTCGCGGATGACAAATGATGAGGCGGCG